ACAGGATATGAGAAAAGGAACCGTCCGCAATACAGATCTCTTTATGCCAAATTCCATGTAAAAATGGGGATATATCTAAGGGTAGCGCTAAGGTAACTTGGGTTTAAGATTAGAACTAGTGCCAATTGTAGGGGATGGGATACGATCTAGTACAACCGAATATGTATGTTGCTAAAATTATGAGCAGAGCCCTCTTTATAACCTGGGCGGGTCGCTCCTATTCCTGTGTTCTGTTAAGGGGGCCACGTAGATAATCCTTACCGAAGATTCGTTTGTCAGAATATGAATTATGTCATGGGATGTAAATAGACCAAAAAACATCTTAAAGAGAAAAGTGTGCACGTCCAAAGTTTCGCGGTTATATTTGGGAGCATCGGCGGGGATAAAAGACAAAGAAGAGCAGTGCTTCCATAAACCTTCTAACTGCACTTTACTTGATCGTTTGCTGTTTCTGATGTGCTAACTGTTTAGGTACATCAATTGTACAAAACCATCCCGTATTTCATGCACCCAACACACAGACAATCACGTGATTGCCGACTTCGCGTGCATGGAGCAAGCACGTTAGAGCCTGCGGAGTGCCGAACGCTGACGCTTTCAATTTCTGCAACCATCAGACTGAATGACCTCGGTGGCCGGTTCTGAGGTGGACCATCATGGTCGATTATCCGCGGCCACATCACCTTTCTCAGACACACACACACACAAACGCGTGAGCAGGTGTAAGGCTGGACGCGTGTGACAGGTTTCTTTACAAAATGGACACCTCCTAGGTGCTTTTATTCCGTCCCCCAAAAAGTTGACTGCGCCATGAGAGCGTGGCGGTTAGGGTAGATACTCTACTTCGGACGTTGTGACTCAATACTGAATCGAAGCCTGAGAATAGGTTGACTCGAAGATTTATTGAAGTGGGGACAAGATCCTTCACTACAATCGATTACACCCTTTCAACGGTCAGAGGCAGCCTCTTTGCAGATTTTAGGGGAACTTCTCGGGCTAAGAGAATAGATATGGCCAGTACCGGCACTCTGAATACCACCATAGCTGGTGAGAAAATTAAGAGAAAACAGAGATGGGAAGATACAGTATGGTACCTACCCCAAATTTACGAATAACGGGTAATCTTTCGCAAACCGGCATTACCGCAGGTACAAAAATGTGGAGATGGTAATGAACAATCTTAAGCGAATTTTAAATATCAAGAGTACTAATTGTTTGTTTAGAAAAATTAAATTTCCGAAGGAATACTCAAGTTCCGTAGACGTGAAAGCTAGCTATAAATAAGACCAACAGATGTAGATATAGTCGTCAGGTGAAATCACGTTAATTTCAGGAAAAATCTGTCTTTCTCTACCAACACTCTGTTTTGTAAATCTGTGTAACTCAATGCCCTAACCTCCAGACGCATATAAATACTACGAGAAAAACCGTGAAAAGACCTACCAGAAGGTAGCCATTGAAATTTCTGGGCAGAGGGTATAATCATTAAAGTGCTGGCTAGTTGCTTCTAATAGGTTTCTTAGAAAGGGAACGAGTACATCGTTGCAGGTTTGCGTAATGCTTAAAAATTCATAAGGTCAACCTGTAGTGCATTCACAATCGTAGAACAAAGCCTCAAAGTAGGCAAAGGAGACGAGACTAGTCCCAAAAATAGACAGAAAGGGGAAGTTTCCCCCATTTGCATAAAAGGTAAGAGTAACCATTAGGGAAGCGTAAAAGCAGACGAGATGTTCCAGTATTTGCCTGAGTTCACTTTGAAACAAAATTAGGGACACAGACAGGTAGTAACGAAATACCAAAACAAGACATCTTTTTTTCAAAGGCAATCCAGTGAAGAATGTTTCTAATTTGATCAGGAATGTATTAAAGACAGGACTCCATTAGGGACGCCCACTGTTAGCGGCGAGTATGCACCACGTTTCTCCTGTAAACTAATCACAGTATGTGTTAATCGGATTCTAAAAAGTTTTTTAGGCAAGGTTGCAATAGTAATACACGTACAGCACGGTCCCAAGACATTTCATTCATGGCAGGATACCGGCTTTTAAGCTAATCTTTCCGGCCGTCTGCAAAAACTACACTGGAAAACGGATTACTTAAGTAGTATGATCTTTACATTAATTTTAAATGTTCTTATAAATACAAGCACAGCATAATTCACAAACCTACCTGCAATCACACTTGCATCCAGGGTTTCCAAACTAAACGCTAAATAAACTGCGTCCAAGAATGATCACAAATTTTTATAGGCTACCAGGAATACGGCCCATAGTACTCAGAAAGTTTTGTGATGGTTGTGGACCATGCTGAGCACGTTATAGGCAGCATTAACACTTTGACTGCGACTCTCAAAATAGCCTGTATGCCCGTGGTGCGGCGTATTCAAACCTGCATAACTTCAGTCCTGGACGTGTACCATATATGGCGCACGTCGCAGTCTGGGACATCATTGCATGTACCAAATATGGCGCACGTCGCAGTCAAAGTGTTAATGAGTGGAAAGAGACGACGCTTTATGCGTAGGCATACCACGGTCCCAAAAAAGTTTTATAATTATAAACTTGATAAACCGATCATTAGTATTATAATCCTCCTTAAGTAATGGTGTAGAATGAAAATCACATTTGCAGAATGTTGCTTAACATTTTTTGAGAAAGCACAGCAACTGTAATTATTTTACAGAATAAGCGTTTTATACTGAAATAAAAGGTATTCTTTGGTTTTAGGACCGTGACTTGCCCATTCAGAAAGTCTCGTATGCTGTCTATATAGTAAACAAAAGTGTTTTTGTATCCATCACAAAACTTTATGAGCACTATACGTCTGCCTAGGAGCCTAGATCTATGTGTAATTCTCCTATTCTGTGTACACTTTCGAAACCCCGAATGCAGGGGTAACCGCAGATAAAGTACACAAGTATTTATTAATTTTAAAAAAATTAAGAAACAGAAGGCGTAAAATTTTATTAAGGCGTAGTTTGCTATAAAATGAGTACAAGAGAGAACAATTTTGCGCAGCTTTCCATAAAATATCTTTGAGTTTACAAGGAAGTGTAAAATCAATGGAGAAAACGTTATCAGTTTTTCCATGTAATTTTTCTGGGCGCCCGGAAAAGTCTCGTTTGAAAGCCGGCATCTCGATATGATTGAAATATCGCGAGGTGTTGTACGATTATCAATATCACGACCTTGCTTAAAAACGCATTTCAGGATTCCGCTTGACATTTCATGAGGTAGTTAACAGAAGAAAAAATACCGCGGTACATAGAATACGTTATAATTCCGATTTGGTCTTTTAGTTATAGTTCCATCTATTAAACACTTACCAGTTTCTTGATATGTGACCTTAAGAAAACGTTTATTTCTGCAACATTCGCAACCGCACATTCATGCGAAAACCTATTTGCTTAAGTCAACTTTATATTAAACAATGCGAAACATCGAATTCTGCCGACATCATGTTTAAACACATGGTCAGGCAGAAGACAATTGATTAGTTCCCATATGGCATAGTACATAGTGCTGGAAGTTTGTTACCTGGAAAACCATAAAGGCAGTGTTTATGTAATTATCAGTTGTTTGCATAGATAGGCTTTAGGTACGTTTAGAAATTAATTGAATAAGTATGCATTTTGGAGGCTTTCAGTATTTTATAAAAATTGTTATGCAAATACTCCCATGCTTAAGTTGAGAAGTCAAGTTGGCAAACATTAATTTTCAGCAAATCTTCGACAGGCCAAAAAATGTGCAGGGATAATGAAAGCTGTACAGTAGGGCAGGGTTTATAACAGTAGTCTGA